GCGGTCCCGCGTGGCAGAGCGGCGTGGGGGGGGTGGAAGGGGAGGGGGAGGGGGCAGGCACAGCTCGTGGACGCGGCCGCGGCCGGAGGGAAGGGCAGAGCAGCGCGGGCTGCGGGGTTGGAGGGGGGGAGCGCCTTGCGGCAGCCCGAGGGCAGCGCCGGGAGGTACCGCAGGGGCGGCTCCCCCTCAGCCCGGGGCAGGAGCCGCTCCCAGCCTGCGGCAGCGCCGGGCGGGGCAGGGGTTGCGGGCACGGCCCGGGCCGCAGGGCTGCACGGCCCCCCTCTTCCTGGTCGTTCTGGATGCGGGCGGGAACGGAGCGGGGGGAGGGACAATGGGTTATTGTCCTCTTATCTCCGGAGACCTGAGGGCGGGGGGGTGCTCGGCTCGCAGACCTGTTTGCGCCTCGGGGTGGGGCGGGGGCACCTCTCTGCATTCTCCCCCCCGCCCCCAAACGGGCGCGGCGCTCCCGGTAACCGCTCGCGTTGGCTGCGCGGCTGCGGCCGCTGCGCTCAATGTGAGCGCCGAAACGCACCTGAATCGTTAAACGGCGAACGGGAGGGGCTGACACCCCCGCCTCCCCCCGCTCCCAGCCCGGCGTGGTCCTGCGGTGTCCGTCCCCGAGCGCTGCTCCGCGGGGTGCTGCCTCTCCCCCGAGCCGCCCGCCGCCGTGCGGGGCTCTGTGCTCCGCAGCGTTCTGCGTTGAGCATCGCCGTATCCGCTCGTGCGGCGCTCCGGCCCCGTGCTGAGCGGCTGCGGGGAGGTACCGCTTCGCTCTGCCATTGTTGTGCGGCAGAAAGCGGTGGGGTGGAGCCGTGTGTAAGGAATTCCCCCTTCCCCGGGGCCTTCCGTCGCTGCTGAGGTGCCCCGGGAGCTGCGTGCACCCTCTCAGCTTCCCTTAGTTCCCGGCATTCTCGCTGACTGTTTCTCCCTCTCTCTCTCTTTTTTTTTTTTAAAAAAAAAAAAAAAAAAAAAATATCAATGCGTATATAAATATATCCGCGTGTGTATGCATGTATATAATTTATTTTCCCCTTGCTATGCCATACGGTTTGCTCGTAGCATTTCCACCGCCTGTTGCTGCAGTGCTGTGAGCAGCCCGCAGGGATCTGCTGCCCTGTGCTGCAGGCACCACTGCTGCTGGCTGCTCCCCTTCTGCAGCTCCACTCCAGGGCTTGTCCCAGCCTGGATACCTCCCTGCAGTGTTCTGCAAATCCTTGCTGCTCTCTGAGCCCTCTAGAAGCTGCGCTGCTCAGCAGGGCCGGGGCGATGGATGCAGGTCTGCTGGGTGGCTGCTGCAGTGCGAGGAGGTGATGCTGCCTCCCAAATTCCTCCGCCTTGTTGGAGGCTTCTGGGATTGGATCCCAGGGATGCGGTGTGAGCATGGGATGCTGCTGCCTGATGTCTGGTTGAGGTGGATGGAGGCAGTGGTGTCTCTTCTGTTGTACAGGTGGAGAACTGGTGCATGGAAGGGGAAATAAATGGTTCTGGGTGAGCAGGGAGATGGAGTACATCCCTCTTTCACCAAGGCAATGAGAACCTGTCTTGTGCTTCTGGTGTTGTGGTAATGGAGATGTTCCTGGGGTAAGCAACTCTGAGCATCGAGCTTAAGTAGGAGGATGGGACACATCTCTTCATCCCTGCTCGCAGGATTGGTATGTGCAGAGCTCCTGCAGCAAGGAGGGATTGCAGCCCCAGCCTGGGGCTCCCGGCTCCTTGTGCCTGGTGTGGAGCTGTGCAGGAGCTGCATCCCTGCCACCTCCTGCTGGAGCTTCCTGAGCTGATGAGACATCCCACTTTGATGTTTTAATGAGTTGCTTTTGGCTTTAATACAGAAGGATAATAGAGTTTCCATGGTCTTATAAATCCTTACTCCTATATTTGCTCGTTGGAAAAGGGGTGGAGGGGGAGGGGAGAAAAAAAAAGAAGAAAGGAAATGCCTGGCACTTGTGGAGTGCATGACACAATGCTGGTGTGTCACCCACCTGTGTCACTCACCGGGACGGGACTCCCTGACACTCATTGAGCTCACTGAGTAAAGGCTGTGTCCTCCTGCCCTGGGGAGCTGCTGAGCTTCACCTGCAGGAGGCTGAGGTGTGGGTCGTGGGGCAGGAACATCCCTGTGGCACGTGCAGAGGGACGCAGGGACCGTGGTGTGGCGTGTGGGGTGTGGAGGTTTGGCTGTGGTTTGTGCTGATGGGGAAACTTTTCCTTCCATGGCAGGGATGAGTCGACAGTGGGCTGGGAACCAGCAGAGCTCTGGCATCCACAGGCTGACAGAGTGGAAATCTGTCCCTTTATTATTTTCAATGCCTAAAGTGTGTATTCCCACCTACTGAAGTGATTGGGATGTGGTGAGCAGTGGGTGGAAGCCCTATCTGTTAAGAGTTTGTCCAGCAGGGAGGAGGGATCCTTGCCTGCTCCTTCCATGCGTGGCACAGTGCTGTCCCGCTGCTGTCCACGCTGCTCTGCCACCTCCCAGGCTGCTGCTGTCGTCTTGGGTGCACAGAGGTCAGCGTGGTGCCCAGGGCGCTCCCACAAAGGGAGTGCAGCAGAGCCCTGTGCTGCAGGTCCTGACCCCAGCATCCTCCTCCTCCATAGGCAGCGGAATGCTCGGTGCTGAGCTGCGCTGAGGTTGGATGGGAGCTGAGTGGATCCGTTCAGGCTCATTCTGACTGGGAACTGGCAGCAAAGCTCCAGCTTTCCCTGGGCTAAAAATAAGCTGGTGGGGCTGGGGGGGGCTGCAGGATGGATCAGCCCCGCCGGGGGGTCTGGCTGGGGCTTGCTGTGACCTTTGCTCTTTGAACGCTGGATCTGCTGGTCAGATTTGCAGCTCCAGGCTCAGATTTCGGGTAGAAGGTGTCTGATTTTCAGCGCGGTTTCCTGTGATGGTCGTTAGGGACCCTGAGCTTAGCTGTCTCTTCCCCTCTGCTCCTGGTTCTGCACTTGGGGCTCATGCAAGGCTTTCTGTTTGCTCCCTCTGAAATGCACGTGTCCTGTCCCAGCAAGCTGCTCTGGAGTTACCCTGGGTTGTCACAGTGCTTCATTTGTTCCAAGCAGATCTCTGGCTGCAGCTCGCTGATGCTTTCAGCTGATGGTGGGAAAGCTGCTCTGGTGCTCATGCTGTTGCTCAGGCTGTCACTGCTGTGGGCAGTGGGATATGAGGACAGGTGTGGGGATGGCTCTGTTTCTCAGCACCTGATGGATTTTGTGCTCTATCTTGGGTGTCTTTGTGCAGATGTGGCTCTGTGTCAGGCTGGAAGTCATGCAGGGCTGCTGCTGCTCCTCGCATTGCATGGACTGTCCCCGTGACCCGAAGCTGCCATGTCCCATGCTGTGCTGCAAGCTGTGAAGCTGCCTGGCCGTGCTCTGCAGGGTGATGGTGCCAGCTATTTTTAGGTGTCAGGACTCAGCTTGGCTAAATGATGTCTTTTGAGTTTTATTTGAGGGAGGAGGGGTGAGGTGTCGTTATTTCCCAAATGATGAATTGCTTGTAATGCTGATCCCAATGGGACCAGCCAAGAGCAAAGCGGCCAAAGCAGCTGACTGAACTCCAGTAGCGTTGCCTTGTTGGAGAGCACTGGACTGTGCAACCCGTGGGGAATCCTTCCCCATCCCACTACCTGTTCCCATGTGCTTGGGATGCTCTGTGCCCCCTGGTGTCACCTCATCCAGGCATCCCACTCCGCATGCACCAGGTTGGAGATGCAAGTGGGTGGCATCCCCTTGTTTCTCCTCCCTGCAGCATCTGCCCATTGCTTTGCAGGGCAGCAGGCAGGGGTTCCTCTAACTCCTGCAGTTGGACGTGAAATGCATCACATCTATATGAGATGCTGCAGATTGTGCTGCTGCAGCGCAGGGGGAACTTGTGCTGCGCTCTCGGGGCAGACGCCGCAGGGCTTGTGGTGCTTCCCGTGCTGTCTGATACTTTGCTTCAGGGGATGTCCCTTTTCCCTTTGGAAAGGACACTGAGGGATCCTCCCTTCCTCCTGCTGCTTCCCTGGATGCAGCTGTCCACATGGAACAGCCTCACTGTTCCTCAGCCCTACAGCATCTCCTGACAAGCTGCTGCCAAGAAGGGACCCAGGGAAGCAGGCTGCCCAGAGCCTGTCTGCATGCAGAAGGGCAGTGGGAAGGACAAGGATGCCTTGTGCACCCCAGTGCCATGCTCGTGGAGCTGCCTGCTTTATTCTAGGCAGCTTTGTGCCTGCTGCTGCAGCGGTCTTCTGCCCTCTCACTGCTCTCCCTGGGTTGGAGCCCACTGGTATGGCTGTCTGTGGGGGTGGGTGCTGGTCACAGTCTGAGCACGGAGCATCCATGCCTGGCTGTCACCTCGTGTGACCCTGTGGTCACAGAGCAGTGTTTGGTTGCTGGATCTGAGCTCACAGGGGCACAGCTTGCTGGGGGGCTTTGGGGCACAGACGTGTGGGTTTCTTCCCTACTCAGTCAAGGATGCAGGAGGAGGGGGTGCCCCAAACATCAGTTTCCCATTCTTTGCTGTGGTTTTGCTTCAGTAGCTCTTCTCCCTCTGCAGAATGTGGGGACCCTGCAGTGTGTGTGAAAACCCGTGCGGCGTTGTGCATTATCCTGAGCAGGGGTGGGCTGCTCCTTCCCCGCCCCTCCCATGGCCCATCTGACTCTCACTTATTGGTATGTGCTTTCCAGGCTCTGATTTGCCTCTTCCGCAAAGCTGCTGCTCTGCCTCACTGTGATCTCTTGATGATATCACAGAGCTTCGCTCCGCAAAGGGTCTAATTTGGTGCCTGGGCTGCAGCCTTTCTTCCTTCATATGAATGTTGCTTTTCGGTTTTCTGTGTCTCTCCTTCTCTCCCTCATTCCCTTTAATTAGACTTCTTACTGCATGGAACAGTTTGCAGTTATATATGGAAGACAGCCTACACTTTCCCAGGAGCAGGGCATGTTGGGAAGGGAAGTGGCGAGAAGCCGGGGAGCGGTGTGTTTTTTCCTCTCTCTGCTGCCGGCTTTGCTTTTTAACCCTTTAACCCTTTGCTCACAGCCCCCCCTCAAAGCCCCTCTGTCTGCTCGGTGTCTGCAATGGCTGAGCACAGCTGTCTCTCTGTGTTTCCAGTGCTGGGATGCACTCCATGTTTTTGGGAATGCTCTGCTCATCCCATGGTGTCTGTTAAGTGCTGTGTCCTCTGCCTCAGTTTCTCCTGCTGTCATCAAGAGGGATTTTTTTTTTTTTTTTAAATTGTGGCTATTTTATTTTATTTCTTGTGTGCACTTTCTCTTTTTGCTGAGGGTGTAGGCAGAAGCATTGCATCATGCCGGCACAGGTCAGTGCTGCAGCATTGCTCTGGTGGGATGGGGATTCGGTCCCCCCAGTCTAGGATGCTGCAGGACCCTTGCTGTGGGTGCTGAGGGTTGGGGTGCTCACAGCGCTGCTGCTTATTCCTCTGCTCACAGGAGGAAGTGCCGGGGCCTATTTTAAACCCCCGGAGATGTTCAGGGTAGGAATCCCCTGTCCCTGTGTAATACTGCTAAAAATACTATGGCCATGTGGCCCCAGCTGATCGCTCTCCTTCTCTGGGTGTTGTTTTGCCCGCGAGACACCCTCGTGCTCTGCAGGTCGGTGCCCGCCTGCTGCTGCTTGTTTTATTTTAAGTGGAGCTGTTAGCCTGCTCCCTATGCGGGGCGATGGTGGGGCTGCCTCAGTTCCCCCAGCGGTGTGCACTGCAGGGGAGCGGTGCTGCTCCAGGATGTTGCTGTGTTGCGGGGAGCGCTCGGGGAATGCGGTGTGGGGAGCTCTGCTTTCTGAGCGCTGCTGCAGTTGGAGCCCAAACCTCAGCGGTGTTGGAGCTGTCTGCCTCTCACCACGAGGGAACTGCCCAACAGATGAATCTGGATGGGCAAAAAGCCACAGGAGTGAAGGGTTGCCCAACAGGCAGCTGGCTGGTGCTGTATCACCATGCGTGGTGCTGGGGCAGGAGGAACCTGTTTCCTGGTGCTGAGTGGGCTGGAGAAGCAGAGGACGAAGGCTGTCCTGCCCCATCCCTGTGCCTGTGGGGCTGCGGAGCTTGGCGGTCCCCGCGCTGTGGGAGATGCTGCCCTGTGGTGGGGCTCCGGGTGCTGCTGGTGCTGGAGGGGCTGCTTCGTGTCCATTCCTGCGTTCCTCCACCAACCCTGCTGCCTGTGCTACCTTGTAAAGCACAAAAGAATAATGAGAGGAGCTTGAGTGACTTAGTGCAGGCGCCGGGAGAGAAATACCAAGGCCTTAGATGGAAACATTCCCCTTGACAGCTTGCCTGGAGACTCCCTCAGTTTTCTTTTTTCCACCCCCCTGAAATTCCTCTGCTCTGTGTCCTGCAGCTGCGGGGAAGCCCCGTTGCACAGGCACATTCCTGAGCCCCCAGCATGAGGCTCCTGGTCCCGCGTGAATGTGCCACGCAGGAGCCCCAGTCTGGCACGGTGGATTTTGGGGAGCTGTGGTGGTATCTGAGTGTGATGCACGTTGCTGCAGTGTGCCTGCTGCTCTTTTGCAAGGGCTGGTTGCTGCCTTGGGCGTGTGGAAAAAAGTTTTCCTACCTTAGTTAACAAGAGGCGGTACGGGCATGAAGTGAGCAGCGTTAATTAGTGGGCTGCTGGCAGCTGCTGGCTCCCTGCAGAGTGATGTGCAAGGTGAGCTGCCCTTCATCTGTGCTGGTCCTCCTTTCATCTCAGATCTGTCCACCCCTGCTTCCCTCAGCCCTGTGGTGGGGGAAGGAAGAGAAAGATGTGCAGTAGTGTGGTGTTGTGGGTATGGGGTGCTGCTGCTCTGCCTGCTGGTGCCATGGTCATACAGTGTGTGTCCCTCTGTGGGGTGGCTGCTGCTCACCTTCCATCTCCGCAAGTGTGAGTTTTGTGGGCGTGTTGGCAGGGATGCAGTGGTTGGAGACGGCTCATCCTGGGCTGCTCCAGATGTGGGAGGGCAGTGGGGCACTGTGTGGCTCCAGCCGTGCGCTGCCATGGGGATGCAGCAGGGTGACAGCTCTGAGAGCTGTGAGCCCTGCCCTGTGCTTGCAGGCAATGTCTGTGTGCTGGGTGCTGCACGCGCTGCTGGCAGCCCTGGGTGTGGGGCAGCCCAGGTTGGAGTGGCTCAGAGCCCCTCCCGGCCCTGCAGCTTGTGTTCCAAGTGGTGGCAGCTCTGTGCTGGTGGAATTGCTGTGGTGTGGTGGCAGTCTCTGTGTGTGGAGGCTGCTGCTCAGCTGTACTGCTGGGCTGGCTGCTTCCTGCAGCCTCGTGCCATGCTCAGTGCCCCTCTCTTGCAAGATGAAGGCTGGGAGATTCTTCCCAACTGTGAAGGAAAGAAGGGCACTTGCCAACTTGTTAGAGTCTGCACTGGACTTTGACTCTTGTATTTTGCTCAGTGCTGGAGCTGTCCCCATGCACACGCCCCAGCTCCCAACGTGTCAGGTGGCTGTCAGTGGCACACAGGATTTCCCCATGCAGAAACACTGCATGGTGCTGTCACCTCCCTGGGGCTCTGGCAGCCCACACCAAAGCAGCACCAAAGGAAGCAAAGGCAGCAGATGATGCTGCAGCTGGGTGCAGAGGTGAGGAGATGATATCCTGTGGGCAGTGTACCTTTGGGAGCTGTGCACTGCCCCTATGGAGTGTGTGGTTCGCAGCTGTGAGCTGCAAACTGCTTCTGTGATTTTTTTTTTTTTTTTAATTGCATGGGTCAGCATGCCCTGGGGCTGGCTGGGCGTTCCAGCACGGGAGGGGTTAAGCACAGCAAGGGGCAGGCGGCCCATGGGTGTTGCTGGGATCCAGGAGCAGAGCTGGTGCCGCCATCTGCACATTGCAATTTGGTGAGTGTGCAGGGAGGGGCCCGGGGCTCTCTTGCTCCGGGGTCAGGGGGGATTGGGGACCATGTGGGGTGTGGATCACCTTCCTGCAGCACTGCATCCTTGCTGAGGGGCTGCAGCCCAGGGAGCTGTCCCCTGTCCCCTCTCGTCACAGTGGATGTGGCTCCATGGGAGTCTGTGCTGGGGGGACCATTGTGCTCTCTCCTTGGATGCTTTTTCAGTTGTTTTTTTTTTTTCCTTTTTTGTCCTCAGTTTGGCAATGTAAACAGCATCCCTGCTGCAGCTTTACATTGACTTTTCCATGGCAACCTCCATGAGCAGTTTTTTTAGCCCCTGTTGCTGAAGCTGGGGAAGGAATGGCCCTCAGCAGGGCTAGGATGGGGCAGCTGCAGGGATCAGGGGTGGTGGGGAGGGTTGGGGGCGAGGAGCTCCATGAATGAGGCCTGGTCTGCTTAGAGGGCTGTATCCTGCCTGCCCCAACTGGCTGGGAGATGGTTAGGGCTTTCTCCTGCAAAATGCAGGAAGATGCTGAGCCGGAGTGCTGATTTCCCCATCTGTCATGGGTAAAGGAACAGCTGCGCCGGGCTGGGTTGGCTGCTGGGTGCAGTGCTGGGCTGGCTTTGTGTTCACTGTCTGTCTGCTTTCTCCAAGCATGCCAAGTGAAGGTGAGGAGGGTTTGCCTTAAAGCACAGCAGAGGACATGGGAAGCACTGCTGTTGCTGTCCCAGGAGCATGCGGTGGCATCTGGCAGCACAGGAATGGGGAACTCTGTGCAGGTCTGCATCCCTGCTTCCTGAGCAGTAGCTGCAGGCTGTGTTGTGCTGGGGCTGCATTGCTGCTGGCATTGCAGGCAGAGCTCTGGTGCCTTGGTGTGGGAAATGTCTGGCCAGTGCCATGCAGCCAGTTTTTGTTCCAGCTTGGCTTTGCATCCTTGGGGAAGAAGCGGTGAGCCCTGGGTGCTTGCAGGGGCTTGTGCCATGGAGAAGCTGTGTGACTGTGGGGCTGCTCCCAGCTCTGGTGCCCATGGACAGGGTCTGCATCCAGCAGCCACGTCCCTCTCCCTGAGTCCTCTTTCCTTTCCCCAGCAGATGGGCTCCTGCCCTTGTGCCAGTGGCTGCTTTCTGCCTGGTGCCTCACTCTGTGCTGAGGCTGTGCTGGTGTGCAGCTGCTCTCCCAGCCAGGATGGAGGTGTAATGCAGCCGCTTATTATTCTGGGCAGGTTTGTCTGCAGCACTGCATTGGCTCCACGGCTGCCTGCTCCCTACCGCCTGCATGCTTGCTCCCTCGGTTCTGTTCCTGGGTGTCCTTCCTGCTGCCAGTTTCTGGTCTGGGAACTCTGCTCAGGAGGTGACACCATGCTGCTGGTCTGGGCTCCCTGGCTGTGTGCTCCCACCAGCGCTGTGTTCACTTGCTCTGCAGGGTGCAGGCACCCAGCGCCTTGTCCTCCAGCAGAGGAGACCCTTGGACAGCACTCCTTCATCTCCAGCACCTGGAGGCTCTGGAAACTCATTACAGAGTGACGGGCAGCCCTGAGCGCTGCTGGAGTCATTAGGAACTCATTAGAGTGTTGGCTTCTGGGGAAGCCCTAGTGCTGGCCAAGGTCCTCCTTTATTCCTGACCACAGGAGCGAGTCGTGGGGCCAGTATTACTGCCAGGACTGAGCACCTATGGGCTCCTTCAGGGGGTAATTAAAAGTTAGGCACTGTGATATGAATTAGCTGACCTTCCTTTACCCTCTCAGCTATGGGGTTCTGGTGCTTCAGTTTTTGTCCTGCTATGGGGTGCAGAGGGCAGAACCACAGCACTCGTGCAGCAGTGGTGACCCCACAGCCATGCCGTTGCATGGGACCCTTCATTGGTATGGCATTGCAGGCTGGTTGGTGCCTGCTGATAGCTCTGCAGCTGCCAGAGCAGGAGTTGGGGCCGGGCCGTGGGGCAGCAGGAGGGTCCTGCTGTGTCGTGGGGTGTCAAGCTGCTGTGACTGGGCTCAGTTTGGTGTGAGGATGGTGCTGAGATGTCCAGGGCTGCTCTGGTGCCTGCCTGATGGATTTGCTAAGGGTTGGGCATGTCTGTGTGCTTGCATTGAGTTTTTTCCCTCTGCTGGGCTTTGGCTGCATGCTCTGAGCCTCTGGGTGCTCATACAAGAACGCATACCTCTTTTATTACTCCTCTTTAAGAAGAGGCTTTTATTATCCTTCTGCAGAGCCTCTCCTGCACGGTTGGGGTTAGCATCCCGTGTGCTGGAGCTGAGCAGGGGAGCAGAGCCAGAGGGTATCTTTTTGGGGGAGGAAGCCTTTCTTTCCCCTGGCTCTTGCTGTGCTGCTATCCTGCTCCATCTCCCAGGCTGCCACCAGTGTTGCTCCTTCCTGCTCCAGATGCCAGGGTAGGGGATGCTGTGCCCCAGGGGAGGTTGCTGCCTGAAGCAGGCCTGGGTTTCTGCCCTTGCTGTGGGACTGAGCTATCATCTGTCCAGCAACATTTGGGGGCTTTGAGAGATGTCCTTAATGCATAAGTTTCTGTGCTGGAGAGATGGGTGAGTTTCTGTCATTTCCTGACAACTCTTACTAGCAATCAGAAACCAGCTTGGTGCTGTGAGCCCCCTCCTGTCAGACACCTGGGGATGATTTCTGTACCTGCTGTGACCAGGCGCTCCTGCCTGGGGACTGCAGTGTAGGGAGGAAACAGCTGCTTTCCACTGCTGAGATGTATTTTTAAACCCAGCTCATTCTGGGCTGCCCAGCTGCAGGCTGAGTGGAGAACCACCTGGCTGCCCTTCCTGCCCCCAGCTCTGCTCAACACGGAGCTTTGCTCAAATAATGCCAAACCCTGATGTTCTGCAGAGCCAGGAGAGCAAGCGGGGCTGGTGCGTGTCCCCAACCCCACCACCTCCTATTTCCATCTGCCATCCCCACAATGCGTGTTTCTTCACAGCCTTCCCCATGACCATCTCCTCATTTTGCCATCCTTTTCCGCAGCTCCAGTTGCTGTGGTATCCAGGGAGCCCTCCTCCTCCGGCAGGAGATGCACGCCGGCCGTTGCTAAGGTTGCCTCCGCGGTAACATGCACATCCTGTTTACACCTTCATCCGGAGGACTCGGGCTTGGCTAGAGGTACCGCTGCACCCAGCCCACCCTGAGGGACAGGGACATCTGTGGGGCTGCCCCCAGCTCCCCTCAAAAGCAAACCTTTGTGGCACTGTCCTCGACAAGATGACGAACAACGTGGCTGACCACCACCCCGGGAACTCGGTTGCTGAAGGCAACCATGAGGGGGACTTTGGTTGCTCCGTGGTGGAGCTCAGGAATCTCATGGAGCTGCGGAGTGCCGAGGCGGTCGCCCGGATTAACGACTCCTATGGCGGCGTGCAGACCGTCTGCAAGAGGCTGAAGACATCACCAGTTGAAGGTAAGCGGCCCCTTGGCCAGATGGGATGTGTGTGGAGCTCAAGCCAGAGGGCTCCCAAGCAGCCGGCGTGATGCTGCTCACCTGACTGCTGGCAGAGCTTCAAGCATGGTCCCATTGCACTGCACATCTGCTGTGAGTTTTGTGGGATGCAGTATATTGAAGAATGAGGGGTGGCCAGTGGGGCTGAGGCTCCTCTCCCTGCCCTGCTGTCACCCCACGTGTGACACTGGCCTTGCAGCTGCTCAGTGATTCACAGTGGGGCCGTGTGGGGTGTTGGTTGTTCTTGTGGTGTGAGCATCTCAACCCAAAGCGCTGATGGGGACGGGGAGATGTGCTGCCTTCCCACTGATTTAGGCTTCTCAAGCAGTCATGGGAGTTGGGAGTGTGACTGAGTCGTTCTGAGCACCATAGGATGAAGTGTGGTGGTGGGTTTGGTGCTGTCTGCCTTCTGGGAAGTTGTGGTGGAAGGATGTCACCAGAATGTCACCTCTCCCTGTGGTGTGGGGTAGAGTTTTTGGGACCCCCCATGTGGTGCTGTGGCCCTGGCATGGGGGGGCTTTGAGCCTTTTCCATGGTTTTGAAAGGGGCACAGATAGAGAAATGCCCTGATCGCAGTGCTGAGGGCTGTGGGAATGGCGTGGGCAGGATGCGGCCCTGTGGGGGTGTGGGATGGGGCTGTGCGGTTTGCTGGTGCTGTGAACTGGGTTAGCGTGTTTCCCAGCTGTGAGCTGGACCGGGAAGGGGAAACAATCCCGGGATGTCATTAGAGGAGGAGGGGAGTCTCAGTGGAAATACCAAGTCCAGATCACAAAACAATGTGCTTTGGCCATGCCAAAAGGTGAGTGGGAAGGGAGGTTGGAAATGAACCCAAGGGGCTCTGCCCTGGCCTTGAAGCTTGCATAAGGAATGGGCACTGCTTGATCCCAAGGGCAGCTTCCAGGCCTGAGCCCCTGCCTCTGTACGAGGCTGTTGGTCGCGTTCACATCACTGCATTTCATGCCTCAGGTGTGTTCCTGTCCTCCCCTTGCTTGGCAGTGATCTTTGTTGTCTGTCCTACTGAGCTTGGAGAGGGAAGAAAAGTGATTTCCTATGAGCTAACGTAGGAAGAGCGCTCCTGTCTGTTCACGCCTGAATGGGGTGCTCAGTTCCCACTGTGCTGGGTCTCCAGCATGGAGGCCTTCTCTGTCTGTTGCCCTAAGAGGTGTCAGCAGACCCCCAGAACTCCATAGAGAGCTTGCAGGTGGGCTGTTCCCTGTCTCCCCATGTAGGGCAGTGGCTGTGCCAGCCCTGTCCCTGCTGATGGGCATCCCTAGTCAGGCAGAGGTGGGGAAGGGGAGTGGGACAGGAGCATGGCTGAATCATCAATCGGAGCATCTCTTGCTGGGTGTCAGGAAACATTGCCTCACACACAGTGCTTGGAGCAGCTCTGTCTCTTTCGTGACACCCACCCCAAGGCTGCAGCTGCTTTGGGGGGCTCCTAATGAGGATGGCTCTGCTGATTTCCTCCTGCTTTGTGGAGCTGTACTGCACACAGCTCTCCTCCTGGAGGGGGGGGATCACAGCTCTCCTCCTGGAAAAAAAAAAGAAGAAAAAAAAAAAAGAGGAAAAAAGCTGAAAGCTGGTGGGCTCTGTCTACTCCATCGCCCCAGGAGGATGTGGGGCAGCTCCGGAGGAGGCTCGTGCAAGTAGGTTTGGAGGATCCATGTGTGTGCCCTCCTGGCCCTGCAGCCTCCAGCCCTGACACTGCAATGAGTCAAGCGTGGCTCTTAGCGAGATTTTCCATCCCCGCCGCATGGGCAGGGCTGGCTGAGGCCGCGGGGCTGGGAGATCCCGCTCTGAGCACTGGGTGGGAATGCAGGGTTAGTCACAGGGAAGAAGGGGTGCGTGCAGGCGGAGCTCCTCCTGCTGCTTCCTTCACAGGGTGCAGTGGGGCCGGGCGTTAAAGCTGCGTGCCTCTTGTGTTTTTGGAGCTGGCAGCAGCCCTGGGGTGTGCTTAAGTTGGAGAGCATGGAGCTGGGTGTGGGGATGGGGCTGCTCCCACCTTGGCCCATGGCCACACTCCACGCTGCTCCCCCTGAGCTGGCAAGGCTCAGGTGGCTCCGGGCACTGCTCCCAGTGCCAGATTTACGGTTAATTTGATGCAGTGTGTAAACAAGCCGGCCAGTGCCAACTGGCATGGCTCTGTGTGCGTCCCAGGTGTCCCTGCCTGTGCTGCGCGGGGGCTCTGCTCTGCTCAGCTGTGCAGAGGACATGGCGGCTGCGCTTCTGTTTGGTCACATCTCGCCCTGTCCCCTCCCCAGGTCTGTCTGGGAACCCAACTGACCTGGAGAAGAGGAGGCAGGTGTTCGGCCAGAACTTCATTCCTCCCAAGAAAGCCAAGACGTTCCTGCAGTTAGTGTGGGAGGCACTCCAGGACGTCACCCTGATCATCTTGGAAATAGCAGCCATAATCTCCCTGGGGCTGTCGTTCTACCATCCCCCGGGTGGTGACAATGAACGTAAGTGGTGGGATAAAATCAGGGGACCCATGGGGTAAGCTGCAGTGCCTTTGGGCCGTCCTGTTCCCGCTCACCCTTGATGTGGTGGCTTCTCCCCTCCCATCCATGTAGGGGATGGGCACTGACGGGTGTCTGGGTGCAGCGTCACTGCAGCCTTGCTCAGGGCTGCTCCTGTCTGGTCCCCGTGGATGCTCAGAGACCAGAGGTCTGGTGGCCCAACCCCACGTGATGTTTTGTGGTTTGGCGCACAGCGGGATGGGGCTGATTGTTCATGAGCGCCTGCCCAGATCACAGGGTCGCAGAATCACAGGGGCTGGAAGGGACCTTTTAAGATCATCCAGTCCAGCCCCCTGCCAAAGCAGGTTCCCTATGACAGGTCACAGAGGTAGGAGTCCAGATGGATTTTGAATATCTCCATAGAAGGAGACTCCATGACCTTTATGGGCAGCCTGTTCTTGTGCTCTTTCACTCTGACAGTGAAGTAGTTTTTCCTTGTGTTAATATGGAATTTCCTGTGCTCCATTCTGCCCATTGCCCCTTCTTCTGTTGCTGCTTGACACTGAAGAGTCCATCCCTATCAACTTGACTCCCACACTTTGGATATTTATAAACGGTGATGAGATTCCCTTCTCAGCCTTCCTTCCTCCAGGCTGAACAGCTCCAGGGCTCTCAGCCTTTTCTCCTACTAGAGATGCTCCAGGCCCTTTAAAATCATCTTTGTCGCCCTCCACTGGGCTCTCTCCAGCAGTTCCGTGTCTGCCTGGAACTGGGAGCACAGCACTGGGCACAGCATTCCAGATGTAGCCTCCCCACGCTGAGATGTGACAGCCCCTCACCAGGGTGGCCGTGCTCTGTGCTGTACGCCCTAGGCACTGCTGGCTGTCTTGGCCACCAAGGCACACTGATGGCACACGGTCAGCTGTTGGTCAGACAGGGCACCACTGGCCTTCTTGGTCACTAAAGCATGCTGTGGGCTCACGGTCACTCTGTTGGCCCCCCAGGACCCCCTGGATCCTTCTCCACAGAGCTCCTCTCCAGCAGCTCAGCACTGGCAGATCTGGCAGTGCTCCTCACAGCTGCGATGCCCCATGGTGGCTGAGCCATGCAATAGGGCAGTTCCCTTTCTCGCCTTTCTACAATGTGTTCTCCTCTCTGGTGGCAGTGTGTGGGCAGTCATCGGGTGGCGTGGAGGACGAGGGTGAGGCGCAGGCCGGCTGGATCGAGGGGGCAGCCATCTTGTTTTCAGTCATCATTGTGGTGCTGGTGACTGCCTTCAATGACTGGAGCAAAGAGAAGCAATTCCGTGGCCTCCAGAGCCGCATTGAACAAGAGCAGAAGTTCACAGTGATCCGCAAAGGGCAGGTGATCCAGATTCCTGTGGCAGAGATCGTGGTTGGAGACATTGCACAGATCAAGTATGGTGAGTGGGGTGAGGGCAGCCCGGTTCTGCCCCATGGCACATGGAGGTTGGGAGCGATGGGATGGAGTTCTGCAGCTTCAGTAGGGTGATTGGAACTGAGGTCAGCATGTGGCTTTGGGCTGCTCCAGCACTGACTGTGTCCTTGTTGGAGATCATCTCCCTGGCAAGGGGCGTTGTAGATGCAGCCTTTGGGCAAAGTGAGGCCCTGCTCCTTGCTCACCCAGCGCTCGTTCCCTGCAGCTTCCATCAGGAATGAGGGTTTTCTTGTGTGGTGCTGACTTTTACATGAAGCTCCTGCCGCTGCAGTTGTATGTTCCTGCAATGGTTTGGAAGCATAGAGGCTTTGGGAGGGTGGGACGTCAATTCATTAAAAGAAACATAAGGGGAGCACTGCCTGATGGAGTGAAAGGCCTCAAAACTAATGCCTTTACACATCAGTGAGCTACTGGAGATCAGTGCTTAACCTCCAGCCTTTCCTTCTCTAAATTGGGATGAATTTCTTGAGCCCTGTTGCTAACTCAGAGTTCTCCCTTGGGTGCAGCAGACAGGGATGCTGCAGCTGGCTGGATTGGGACTAACTCAATCTCTCTGCTCCTCTCCCAGGTGACCTCTTGCCAGCGGATGGCATCCTGATCCAAGGGAATGACCTGAAAATAGATGAGAGCTCGCTGACTGGAGAGTCTGACCAAGTCAAAAAATCACTTGATAAAGACCCCATGCTGCTGTCAGGTGAGACTGCTCCTCCATTTGAAGTCCCAAAGCTGTCAGCATGGTATTAAGAACTGCAATTGATTGGGATGGGATCCTGACCATCTTTTTGCGTCTGAGCTGTGGCTCCCAGCCCCGGAGCAGCTCTGCACTACGAGAGATGTGGGGATGGCAGCAGGGCCTTTGCCTGTCTGACAGGGCTGCTGTCGTGTCTGCTGAGGCTGCAGATGTCCCAGGGAGAGAACCTTAGCTGACATGAGGTTCTGGGGGTAGTGGGAGCCCGTGCTGTGTCCTTTCTCACCATGCCTTCCTGCTGTGCCAGGTACCCATGTGATGGAGGGATCTGGGCGAATGGTGGTGACTGCAGTGGGAATCAACTCTCAGACAGGAATCATCTTTACTCTTTTGGGTGCGGGAGAAGGAGATGAGGAAAAGAAGGTGAAGAAAGGTAAGGAAATCTCCTAAATCAGCTTCTTCCCACCTGTTGCCTTTCTCCCTTCCCTGGGAAGCACCTGCTGGTGTGTGACAAGCCCCATCCACAGCAATGGGATGTGGTTGTGTGTTAGTGTGTGTGACACAGACAGGTATGATGAGCTCTCAGGCCAATGTGGGATGTGCTGCAAGAGAAAAGCCCTTTGTGCGCTCAGATTTCAGCTCTCCGGCTCTTTTCGGTCACATTTCCATCTCTCTCATCCAGCCAGCTGCAGCCTGGAGTTGGAGGCTGGGTGGGAGTCAAGGACCAGAGGGGAATGGGACTGAGGATGATGTTGGGCGGTGCTTTGTAGGGAGCTCATCAGCCACCCTGTGGTTGGAGGGTGAGTTCTGGCTGCCTGCAGGATGCCAGCAGCCCATGCTGTGCTGTCAAAACTTTCTGTTGGCATCCCTGAGTTGCCTGGATTGAGAGGTGAAGCACAGGGAATGGGAAGAGGGCGAGGAGAGATCTGTGCCTGGTGGGTGAGAAAGAGGAGAGGGACCAGCTGAGATGTGCCTGATCGTACTGGAATGTGAACTCTTTCCTGCCTCAGCTCTGCCCTTTTGCTGCTCTATCCTGCTTCTTGATCACAAAGGATCCCAAGCTTGTGTTGGTGTGATCCAGACTGGGGCTGCTTGGGTGTAGCCCATCTAGGAGATGGGATCATGAAGAGAGAAAGCTGTTAAAGCTAACAGCAGAGTGTTTGAGGTCCAGCTGTGGTGCTTGGTGTTTTCCTCATCCTCAGGCTCTGTCACTTGATCCCAGAGCAAACCTAGCTATGTGTCCATTGCTGGGACCTTGCAGCCCTCAATTTGGGAGCATAACTTGGGAAAGGGAGTGCTACCCTGACTCATCTCTTGCTGTGCTGCTGAGGGGAAATGAGGGGGGGAGAAACCAGGTCTATGGTGTATAAACCCCTTTACCGTGTGCTGCTTGTTTAGGTAACAGCAGCCCTGCACTTCCCATATTAGGGGGGACCCCAGAATGGGGATCTTGCCTGCTGCAGACCTGGGGGGATCTGCGCTGTGTAGCACTGCCCGTTGTTGGGGGAGATGTGTGGATGATCTCATGCTGTGCAGAGATCAGGCTCTGCTTGTGTCTTCTCCTTGGAGGTCTGAGATGTCCTTGGCACCCTGTGGAGCTCTGGTGGGGTTTATAGCAGGTGCTTTGCAGGGGTGATTTCAGGGGATGTCTGAAGCGGTGAGGTCAGGGTGCTGGGGAACTCCAGCTCCTCGCTGTGCTGGGATGCAGGATTGCCTCTGGCAGGTGAGGTGAGCAGTCTGGGGTCCCAAACTCAGTGCCCTGTGGCAGTGAGCCCACAGCACAGGTGCTGCTGGAGCAGTGTGTGCAGTCCCTTGGAGGAGGGCTGACCCTTCCCATCCCTCTGTCTGGTCTGTGTGCTCAGCCCTACACCCTTTCTCTCTTTGAACAGGTAAAAAAACCGGAGCCCCTGAAAATCGCAACAAAGGTAACCAGCCTCTCCATCCTTTGAACCAGCACCACACTAACTACCAAGCATTCCTCCTTCCTTCTTCTCATGAGTCTGTGCTCTTTGCTGCTCTGGCGGGACTCTCGCCTCGTTGTCCTGGGAGAGGGTGCAATGGTCCCACAGCTCTGGCACAATGGGATCAATGCCCTGTGGCCTTTGCTTGGGGCAGAGTCTTTGTGCAGGGAGAACAGGCCTCTTCCTGACAGTCCGGACTGCTGGCACAGTGTCCCTTGGTGCAAAGCAAGTCCCCATTGACATGACCTTGTGGCTCTGAAGCATTTGTGCTGCTTTCCTGCAGGGTGTGTGTTTGGGCATGGTGGGGCAAGAGACATTGGTCTCATCCTCCTGGGATAAATCTCCTGTGAGACCTGGCTCGTGTGATGGTTGCACCCTCTCCTCCCATGGCCTAGACTCCGTGAGCGTCTCCTCGCCGGTGTTTCTCACCCTGTTCTTTGCAGGCTGTGGAGGAAGCCCATTTCTGCACCTCTCTCTCTCCACCCCTTTCTCTCTTTCTTTCCTCTCAGCAGTTTGAGTTTTGCTCTCCTTCCTGTCAGATGTGTCTCGGTGCTTGTTTTGTCCATGTTGTTGTAACTGTGGAGGTGTCAGGGCAGCTTGGGGCTGTCTCTGACCATTAAGCAGTGGCTGCCAGGAGGGAATGGGTCCTGGGGCTGCTGTGGGGTGCTCCTGCTGCTCCCCCGGCCCAGCAGCTCTCAGCCTTTGCTCCATCTTCCCACTCCATGCCTCCCAGCCCGGATGGGATTTTCAGCTGAGGGAGGCCATGGAGCTGGGCCTGGCCTTCTTGGGTCCTAAAAACATAATGAACAGCTTGGGCCTGGGATTGCGGGAGCTGGTTCACTCCTCTTCCAATTTCATTGGAATGCCTAACCGTCCCCCTCCATCTCACCCTTCCAGTGCTCCTCTGTGAAATGGATTCCTGCTGAGCTGCCAGAAGGGCTTTAAAAAGGGCATCAAAGCAGAGAAGAGGGGTACAGAGCAGAGAGAAGCTCTCTCCAAGCTCAGCCTGCTGTGTTGTGGCTGGGATGGGGTCTGCTGGTGCACTGGAGCCGCTCTGGGGCAAACCCAGCGTGCTTTTCTTGTGCTGCAGGGTGTGAAGCAGCTGTAGAGAGCTCAGAGACATCCTGCCTGTGCCCAGCAGCCAGGCTGGGGATCTCTGGCTGCACCGCTGTGACCCACAGCCAGCATCAGCCCCAGGACCCTTTCTGCACGGGGCTGGGGCATGGGGTAGATGTCAAGACTGCCCCATAGAGAGGCAACAGGGCCCCGGGACAAGAGACTTCCATGTGCTCGGATGTGTGTGTCATGGAGAATGGTTTGTGCTCTGGGTTTTCTCTCTTTCCCACCACCATATTTCTCAGCGGTGTCCTGCAGGTCTCCCTGGTCTCTCTCCTACTCACATGCGGTGTCTTATTTTGCCCTGGGGCTGTAGCTAAAACTCAGGATGGTGTGGCCTTAGAGATCCAGCCCCTGAAGAGCCAGGAAGGGGTGGAAAATGAGGAGAAGGAGAAGAAGAAAGTGAAGGTGCCCAAGAAGGAGAAGTCTGTGCTCCAAGGGAAGCTGACGCGCCTGGCAGTCCAGATTGGGAAGGCAGGTGAGCCATCACGCTGCAGTTCTCACTGGAAATGGCACAGTGGGAGGGGGCTGTCCCCTGCCTGCCATCCCCATGTCCCTTCACCTGCTGCTCGGCGTCTTCCCCCAGGGCTCATCATGTCGGCCATCACCGTGATCATCTTAGTACTGTACTTTGTTATCGACACCTTTGGGGTGCAGCGTCGGCCCTGGCTGGCAGAGTGCACCCCCATCTACATCCAGTACTTTGTCAAGTTCTTCATCATTGGTGTCACTGTGCTGGTGGTGGCTGTGCCCGAAGGGCTCCCTCTGGCAGTCACCATCTCCCTGGCCTACTCGGTGAAGGTGAGAGCAGTGGGGACCAGTGGCGGGTATGGAAAAGTGTGATGGGAGAATTCAGGCTTTTGGCTTTAACCTTCCTGGTCATACTGCAGAAAATGATGAAGGACAACAACCTCGTGAGGCACTTAGATGCTTGTGAGACCATGGGTAATGCCACCGCCATCTGCTCAGACAAGACTGGCACACTCACTATGAACCGAATGACTGTGGTGCAGGCCTATGTGGGGGACACCCACTACCGTCAGATCCCTGACCCCGAAGCCATCCTGCCCAAGATTCTGGACCTCATTGTCAACGGTGTTGCCATCAACTCTGCCTACACATCCAAGATCCTGGTGAGTCAGCTCTTAAGAACTGTAGCCTTACGTTCCCACTGTTGGCCATCCTTGCTGTTACCATCCCGCTGTGTTCTGCAGTGCTCAGGTTTGACATTGCTTTTCCTCCTTTCTCCTCCAGCCACCAGAGAAGGAAGGGGGGCTACCCCGGCAAGTGGGGAACAAGACAGAGTGTGCCTTGCTGGGCTTCGTGCTGGACCTGAAGCAGGATTACCAGGCTGTGCGGAATGAGGTGCCAGAGGAGAAGCTGTACAAGGTCTACACCTTCAATTCGGTGCGCAAGTCAATGAGCACAGTGCTCAAGAACAGCGACAACAGCTTCCGCATGTACAGCAAGGGAGCCTCTGAGATCATCCTCCGCAAGTAACTGTCCCCCCCATGCTGTCTGGGTCCTCTCCCCAGCCCACCTGTCTCATGGTGCATTGTTGAGCTCTCAGTGCATTGTTGAGCTGTTCTGGAGGGTTGCAGGGTAAAGGGGACTCAGCACTTGAGAAAAGGGAGAAGGGGAAAGGGTGAGCATCAGGAGGTGCTGCTGTGCAAAGTGCTAGCTTTTCTTAAGGTGTCTTTAGTGAGGCTGTACTGGGTGAGAGGGTTGTGCTCATTTTACAGATAGGGAAGCTGGGTGATGGATTGTTGAACAGCCACAGGCAGTCTCCTTTACCCTCCTGTCCTGGTCCTGTGTTAGGTGCACCAAGATCCTGGACAAGAATGGTGACCCCCGGGTGTTCAAAGTGAAGGATCGGGATGAGATGGTGAAGAAGGTGATTGAGCCCATGGCATGCCATGGGCTGCGGACCATCTGCCTGGCCTTCCGTGACTTCCCTGCCAACACCGAGCCTGACTGGGACAGTGAGAATGAGATCCTGTCTGACCTGACCTGCATCGCTGTGGTGGGGATAGAGGACCCAGTGCGGCCAGAGGTACTGTGGCCCCTGCGTGGTCCTGACAGCTCATCACCCAGCCATGCTCCTGGTCCAGGACCCTCTATTCCTGATGTTTAAGAGTATGAGCCCCTTACACACTACCGTGTGCTGGTATTGCCCTTTCATGCACAGGCAGAAGGACCTGGTGGCAGCCTGCTTCCACTCAGACTCCCCCTCCTTTGCTGCTCCAGGGCTCTTTGCAGAAGCCCAACTGGTTCTGTGTGCAATTGTCAGGTGCAGGGAGGCAGGCAGCACTCCTGCACCAGGCAGGAGTGATGAGAATGCTGGAGAGGGCAGGACTGACCAGCTGGTTCCTTCACCTTGCAGCTTGCTGCTCCTGTTTGCCTCCATCACGAGGTGACCAGGCAGGCAGCTGACTTAATGCAGTAAGCCTTCTGCTACCTGTCTCTTAATTGTATTTTGGAGTTTGCCCCTATGCTCCTGCCTTGCTTGCATCTTTCCTTATTAGATGTTCAAGTATCTGGGTCTGGGAATTGCATTACAGATGTCCTGTCTGCACTGACTCTGGAGGTTGTGATTCAATTTGTAAATTTCTCACCAATATCCTCTTCCCCCACTGCTCTGTAATAGATAAACTCATTAGTACAGCAGCATGCTGTCAGAGCAGGGCAGGGGCAGGAGGAATGCCCACATTTGGGTGGGCTGCCTGGCTGTGCCTCATGATGGGGAGAAGGCAACAAGGTTCTCTTCCCTTAGGGCAGGGCTGGGGGGGCTGCTGTGAACAGGGCTGCAAGGGCAGGAGCAGGGTGCTGTGTTCCCTGGGGACTTATCTGTGAGGGACAGAGGAGTTGAGCTGGTTCTGGGTGGGATGTGTTGGTTCAGCATCTTGTCCCCCACCTGAGCCATGGGTGGATGTAAATGGCTTGTGACCCCACTGAGACCATGGCCTGAGCGCTCTGCCCATCCCTTGCCTGTCCGCATCCCCAGGTGCCAGATGCCATCCTGAAGTGCCAGCGTGCAGGCATCACTGTCCGCATGGTGACTGGGGACAACATCAACACTGCTCGTGCCATCGCCACCAAGTGTGGCATCCTGCTGCCTGGAGAGGACTTCCTGTGCCTGGAAGGGAAGGAGTTCAACCGGCTTATCCGCAATGAGAAGGGCGAGGTGGGGGAGCAGCGCGGGGCCCTGCTGTGGGGTGGCTGGGTGCTTTGAGGATCACACTCTGGTGAGGCAGAAGGTGTCCGGAGGTCCCTGTGCCTCCTCACACTCGTCCTGTCCTGCAGGTGGAACAGGAGCAGCTGGACAAGATCTGGCCCAAGCTGCGTGTGCTGGCCCGCTCATCCCCAACAGACAAGCACACACTTGTCAAAGGTGGGTGTATGCCGGCTCCTGGTGCTCACCACCTCTCCCCCAAGTGCCCTGGGCTGTTCTGCCCAGCTGCTTTTTGCAGCATGATCTCTGCTGGAGCCTGCCCTCAGAGCTAACTTTTTCTGCGGTCCTTGCCCCCCCATTGCAGGAATTATTGACAGCACTGTTGGTGACCAGCGGCAGGTGGTGGCTGTCACCGGGGATGGGACCAATGACGGCCCAGCTCTGAAGAAAGCTGACGTTGGATTTGCTATGGTACAGAAGAGCAGTGGGTTTGCCAGCAGATGCTCCCTGGCTATGGGGGTGGCCTTTGCTTTTCAGGGAGAGGAACTGAGGATCTACTTGGTTGTTATGAGCACTTAAATTCTCTCTGCAGCGGTGAAACTCTTTTCAGATCTTCCTTAAGGGCTTAAAATGGAGAAATAAACCTATCCAGAGGTTGGTGTGAGTTCTCAGGAATGTTCTAGGACTGCTAGCAAGTGACTGGAAAACAGTGCTCCGATAGTCTGGGTTAGGGGTGGATTTCTCAGACCCACTGCAGGGGGACAGTGTCAGGTTGAAGTTGGCATGGTGCTGGTGCAGCACCAGTGCTTTGCACAGAGCCAGTCTGGGAAGGAGCTCACTGTGCGTTGGTACATCTCCACAGCTGTGCACCAGGATCATAATAGACAAGTCAGACTCCAGGCACAGTGCTAGTGCTTGCCTAGAGTTGATTTACAGTGAAGGAACCCCGATCTGCCTTGCTGCTTTTCTTTGCCCTGCCTGAAGGAGGCAGCAAACAAAAGCTGAGGGGTGTAACTGCTTTCTACTGAATTGTTAGAGTTTACATCTGTGAGCAGGAGCCAGCTGCTGGACAGAGCCTGATGCTTGCCCATGCAGGGCACAGCAGGAATTACAGATTGAAGTGCAGTTCTGGAGCCTGTGGGGGGACAGCAGAAGGCTATCTTCCTTGAGAATTGTGCAGCAGGGCTTTGTGCCCTCCATGTGTGGGATCAGACCCTGACCACTGGGCTTTGCTTGCTTCCCCCCAGAGCAGCAATCAAGCAGTAACTTTGTGCTGTTCTGCCCAGCTTCTCTCTGAAGCTCGTGCCCTGCAAAAGTCAGGTGTTCCCATCTGAGACAGGTATTGCAAGTTTCAGGAGAGGGGAAAGCATTGGGGAACTGTCTCCTTGCAGGGCATTGCAGGGTTTTGATACACTGCATTTTCTGGGAAGAAGCAGCATTGTAGGGCTGGGTGTGGAGCTTGTCCTGTCACTTACCCCTGCCTACTTCCTCTCTGGCCCTTAAGGGCATTGCAGGCACTGATGTTGCAAAGGAGGCTTCAGACATCATCCTGACGGATGACAACTTCACCAGCATCGTCAAGGCGGTGATGTGGGGTCGTAACGTCTATGATAGCATCTCCAAGTTCCTGCAGTTCCAGCTGACAGTTAATGTGGTGGCTGTCATCGTGGCTTTCACAGGCGCCTGCATCACCCAGGTATGGGGCTGCTGGTCTTGGCAGGAGGAGAGCGGAGCACCTTGCAAAATAGAGGTGAAAATGGGCTGGGGTAGTCGGTATGTCATGTTCTCCATGCTCTCCCTGCAGGATTCTCCCCTGAAAGCTGTGCAGATGCTGTGGGTGAACCTGATCATGGACACCTTTGCCTCCTTAGCCCTGGCTACGGAGCCCCCAACTGAATCCCTGCTGCTCCGCAAGCCGTATGGCCGCAACAAGCCGCTCATCTCCCGCACCATGATGAAGAACATCCTGGGGCACGCTGTGTATCAGCTGACTATCATTTTCACACTGCTTTTTGTGGGTAAGCTTTGAGACCTCCAAGAAATTGGGGGGAGAGGGTGGAAGGGTGGACTGCCCCCAGTTCTTCGCTGGTGTTAGGGGCTGTTTGTTCTGAGCTGTCACCCAGTAACCCCCAAGCCGACACAGAGCTCATTTAATGGATGGGAGGCGGTGGTATGATAATTGGAGGACTTACGCTGAATGCATGGGTCTGTTTTGTATATCAGTGGCTGGTGGTTTCAGCCAGGGAAACAAATTTTCTGCGTTTTTATGGCCTTTTTAAGGAAATGATGGTTCAGTGGGGCTGGTGTCGGGGAATCCAGCTGGGTCAAGGGATCTTCACTGAGAGCCTTTGACTCCAATTCCACCTCCACCAGTGCAGAGAAGATGAGATCCTGTTTCTTTTCTCCTTGCCCGTGTCCCACCCCAAACCCTTTGTCTGCTTAGGGGAGAAGCTGTTTGACATTGATAGTGGCCGGAATGCCCCATTGCATTCCCCACCCACTGAGCACTACACCATCGTCTTCAACACCTTTGTCATGATGCAGTTATTCAATGAGATCAATGCGCGCAAGATCCACGGGGAGAGGAATGTCTTTGAGGCCATCTACCGCAATCCCATCTTCTGCACAGTGGTGCTGGGGACGTTTGCAGCCCAGGTGAGGCTGTGTGGGAGTAGCGTGGGGGGAAAAGGATGGGTGGTGGGACTGGGAGGAGACAGTGATGCAGGGAGGACCTGTATGTGCTGCAGTTCCTGTCCATGACTCTGTTCTTTCCCCTTATTCTTCTCCAGCAGCTTCTCAGTGACTCCAAACCTGACATCTGGGAGCTGGTGTGGCTTGGGAGGTCTGGGACCTCTGGTGGCCTTGCTGCTCTAGATGGGAAGCTCCAATGCTCATCTTAGGGAGGGGGAGAAGATTTGTGGGTCTGGAGGACCTTTTCTTCCTGTGACTACTGATCGTTGTATCCCTCTAAGTTTCCAATGTGTGACTTGTACTCTCCTGTGCTGTAGATCATCATTGTGGAGTTTGGTGGGAAGCCATTCAGCTGCTCTGGGCTCACCCTGAGCCAGTGGTTTTGGTGTATATTTATTGGAGTGGGAGAGCTCCTCTGGGGCCAGGTAAGAGCCAGCCTATATGAAAACTAAACAGCTGTCCCTCCTTGCCCAGCTGTAACCCTAGGCAAGCCTGCCTTTCCTTTTCCCACCGCTTCAGTGCTCAGGTTCTCCCTAGATTCTCTTTGTTCAATGCTGGAGATGGTGATGCTCCATTCCAACCCCATACCAGCAGAGAGGAAGCTGCTGGTAGACTCCTTGCTCCCACCCTGCTTGCCTGAGGTGTGGGGTGTCTCAGCTAAGCTGCTCTCCCTGCCTCTCCCCAGCTCATCTGCACAGTCCCTACCAGCCACCTGAAGTTCCTGAAGGAAGCTGGGCATGGCATCACCAAAGAAGAGATCCCAGAGGAAGAGCTGCCAGAAGATGTGGATGAGATCGACCACGCTGAGATGGAGCTGCGGCGTGGGCAGATCCTGTGGTTCAGGGGTCTCAACAGGATACAGACGCAGGTAATGTGGGGCAGTGGGTCCTGTGGGCCTTTCTTCTCCCTCTTTCTCTCTTTCCCTTTCTTTCTAGGGGCTCCGTCTGGAAAGATGTGACAGCCACTGCTCAGAGGATGCCATCACCTCCTGGTCTAGACTTCTCCCACCACCTGTGCCTTTCTGGGTCTCTCCTGGTTTTGGGAAGCCAGGATACTCTGACTTTCTGGGACAGCCTGGGGTGGGCAGGGAGCGGCGGTGCAAGTTCTGTTTTGACACAGAATGTGGCTGATGGCCACCTCACTGGTAGCAGAGAAGCGTTGGAGCTGTAGTGATCCTGGCAGGCATCAGCCCAGTGGAGCTGCAGCTTGGAGCACTGAGCTCTCTCCTGCTCTGCCCCTTACAGCAGGGGCTGTCTTCTACTCCAGGCTGATGTGGGCTGGTATCGGCCTCAGACAGTCTGAGGTGTCTGGGGAAGGCATCGTCCCCTTGCCAGAAGGTTGCTGGTGCTTCCAAGAGTTGACTGTGCTCTCTGAGCTCAGGACCTCAGGCTGAGCCTGGCTCCCTCAGTCTTCGAGCAGAGCCCCGCTCTGAGGGGATGGTTGTGGATGAGCATCATCACCTCCTGCTGCCCTCAGAGGGCTCTCCTACTCTGTGTTTGCTGCTCTTGGTCCTGCAGCAGGGAAAGGGAAGATAATTGGTTAATATGGTTTTTACGTAAATTGTTTCTGACTTTTTTTTTCTTCCCTGAAAGGTGTGTTTTTTGTTGTTGTTGTTGTGGTTTTTCCCATGCCCTGCCTCCCCAGTGGTTGGCTGTTTGGGGCAGGGAGAGTTCCTGCAGTGAGAAACTACCTTTCTTCCCTTGAGGCCCAGGACAGAGCTGTCTTATGGAGCAAGGCTTGGGGCTGCTGTTGTCACCCTTTGTTCCTACTTCTCAGGTTTGCAACAAACCAAGTCAACTGAAGTGGCCCAAGTGCAGGGACTGGAACTAGCATGGCAGCTGTCTTGTGCTGCATTAGCTTGGCTTCTCTTTGAGATGTTGCCTTGAGGGTTTCAAGGTGAAGGGCAACGCTGGCAGGGGCTGAGCTGCCTCTGGGAGCCCCAGGTCAGGTCAGGAAGCAATCCTGATGTCCTGATAGGTGCGGACAGCCAGAAGTCAGGCATGCTGCTGGCTCTGTGCCTGCATGTTGTGCCCATGGGCTCTGGATTCTAAGTCCTGTGAGCTGTGGTGGACCTGTTGTAGTGCCTAGGAGCATTGTTCCCCACTGCAACTGCTGGCAAATCTTGAGACCTCTTGAGTGTGTTTTTTCTGGCTGTGGTGCCCCACATGTCAAGTGCAGCAACAGCAGGTCAGACCTGAGCATTTTAGGGGAGTCAGTCCCCAGCTGGCATGTCTTAAACAGGCCATGTTCCTTGTGGCCAGCCTAGTGTGCCAGGGCAGGGTGTCCCTCTATGGATGGAGGTCAGACTGGGCAAGGAGCAAAGCAGGATGTGAGGCATCTGTGGGGTGAAAGCTGCATGTGATCTGGAGAAAGCGTCCTTTCCCCAGGGGAACAGCAAGGGGCTGGTACAGGGCAGGGGACAGCCAAAGGTGTGCCAAAGTGCAGCATCTTGGCTGCTTCCCTGCCTGCTGTACCAGCTTTGCTTCTGGGCCCTGTGTTATTCTGGGGGAGAGGCTGTGGAATGCATAGAATGCTATGGTCCTGTCTACCTGCTGCACTCCAGGATGCAGCCCCATGGGGCCGAGGGACCACAAACTCTTCCTCAGTGCAGTTTTCCAGGCTGCCAGCTCACCTCTGCTACTCTGTCTCTGCTCCTCCTGCAGCTCTGGGGATGACCTGGGCTGTTCCTCATGCTCCCCCTCGCCTCATCTCTTGGTGGTGGAACGAATCCTACACCTCTTGCACCCTCAAGGACTGGAAACCTACCTCCCCTCTGCCCCTGTGCACTGACCAAACCCATGTGGGTTTGTGGGAGTGCAGGCTGGAGTGGGGTTGGCTCTCTCATCCTTCCTCCTCCACCTCTCCATCCTTCTTCCTTCCTATCCCTGTGTGTTTGTCCCAACCCCGTTCCCTCTGTCCCTGACCCCTGTCCCTGTTTCTGGCTGGGGCGATGCTATCTCACTCTCTGATTCTTTGCAGATGGACGTAGTTTACACATTCCAGACCGGCGCCTCCTCTTTGCAGGGAGCCCTCAGGAGACAGCCTTCCATCGTGAGCCAGCACCACGATGTAAAAAATGTTTCTAGCCCAACCCATGTAGCTCTTTCCTCCGTCAATTCCACTCCCACCACTTCTGCTGTTGCTGCTGCTGCATCTCCTCCTGCGGGCAGTGAGTGATAGTCTATTACAATGCATGACTTCTAATAACCACAGAACACTGCACAACCTGACCCAGCCTGCACTCTTTCCCTCTGACCCACTGTTTTCTAAAGTGAAGGATGGGGTGGGAGACGGCGTTTGTTTGTTTATTTATTTATTAAAAAAAAACCAACAACCTGTTGAATCTTTAACAAGTTGGTGATACTTTTTGGTCCTTCCCTCACCCCATTCCTTGTTGCTTCCTTGTTTTTTTCCACCTCTTCTCCTTTGCAGGACTGACATGTGAGTCCCCCCTCCTGATGGGGGGGGGGAGGGGGGATGGAGGGAGGTGCAAAATTGCTGGTTCTGGCTGAAGGAACTGTGCTAACTTCTGAGCAACTCAGAGCACTGCTGTGAGAAGGGAGTGCTGTTTGTGCCCAAACGCTGCCAGTTCTTTGCAGCGTGGCCCTGCCCAGCCCCAGGAGCTGATGGAGAGGTTGCTTTTCCAGAACCCTCCATGTGGAAGCAGAGCAACCTCTCGGCCCTTCCCACAGCAGTCAGCACACTGTCAGGGCTGGCTGGGCTGCAGGGCCGTGCCGCCTGCATGCTCTCTGCCTCTCGCCACATGTGAGTGACAGTGGGGTTTGCACCCTGCTGTGCTCAGCAGTGCAGGAGTAGCTGGGTGCTCTGCATCACTCACCTACAACCAGGCCCACCTGTTCAGTGAGCAACCTCCCTGTCCCAGGGTTAACCTGCATGCCTTGTGGGATGGGGTGCAGGGCGTTGTGCCCAGCCTGGAGTACTCACACCCCCCAGGGTCTCACAGGGCCCAGCCCTGAGGGTGGAGAAAACCTTGGGCTGCGTAAACGTGCAGCAGCTTGGCAGAAGTGTAAATGATGCCTGTGGCGAGGAGCACACCTGCGAGTGTCCCCTGCTCTGCAAGGGATGGCACAGAGGCTCTGCTGGTCCCCTGGTGGCCCCAGAGCATCATTGCCCTGTGCAGCAGCTCAGCAGGGCAGGGCTGGCGCAAGGCTGGCTGCTCCATTCTGTGCCTGCAGCTTTCTGCATGCAAATGGGGTGGAAAACACAGCTGGACAAAGCTGGGTCTTGCATCTAGCAGTAGGTTTCCAGAGCAAAGCAAATCTTGCTCTGATATGGTACCCTGTGTTTGTTACAAGCAGAGTAATGGCCCACAAGCACGTGAGTGAAGATTCTGTCTGTAGGGCTGTAAGTAGGTAGTACATCTTTCTCAGATAATTGGCTTTTTTATTGCACAGTCACTTTCCTTCTTCTGTTCTTATTAAAGAAATACCGTGGGCAACTTTTTGAGCAGCTTTCAGTCTCCAATGTTTACACAGTGTGGTGGAGAAGAGAAAACTTTGCATAATTTTGTTTTCTCTCTATTTAGTCAACACTGATACCTGAAGTTTAACCTCAGTATTTCTGAAGCAGCACAGCTGCCTTCTGGTCATCTCTACACCGAGACGTTCTGACTGGAAGAAAACCCATTAGAGGGGTCTCAGGGCAGGGTGTTTGGATGGGCAAAATCACAATGCAATTTTTTTGCAGTCTGTGGATTAATTTTCTCCCTGTTCTGCAGCAGGGGGTATCTTGGATAGCAGGTGTCCTTCCAAGCAGCAAACAACTTCACCAACAGCTAACCCAAGCTGCTAAGTCTTCCCTCTATTTTCTATCTAGATGTTTCTCTATTCTCTTTGCTGCTTTCCTTCCCTTGCTCTGAGCTCCAGTTCCCTCTACAGATTAACAGTGTTTCTCTGCCTTCCAGTTCATTTCTGGGATGAGTTTTCCAGGGCTGCACCTCGGCAGCCCTGTGTGCTCTGTCGGAACCAATGGAGGAAAGGGAGATCTCGGGAGGGTCCTCCAAGAGGTGGTTGGCAGAGCCCACCTCTTGTCTGGTCAGACCTGATTTGGGGTGATGGGGTTCAGCAAGTCGTGGTGCATTGTGCAGGAGATGTCACTTCCACCTCATTGTGTACAGTGGTTTTGCAGCAGCGATGGTGCAAAATGAGAGTGAACCGTAAAGCTTATGCGAAGTTCTTTTAACGAAGGAACAGCTTCTTGAATTCATCTTGTAACAGTTGTTCAAGAGATGGTTAAATCAATGAGTATATGGGAAAAGCTGCTGTTCTGGCAGAGCAGATGATGTGGGGTGACTGGGCTCACCTGTGCTGCAAGTGGTGGGGGAAGGAGAGCTGTGAGACTGCTCCAGAGCTCGTGCTACACTCCCTGCTGTGCTGGCAGGCACTGAGGCACTCCTTAGGTGGGTTAGGCTGGTTCTCTGTGGCTTTGCACACCACGTTAGGGCAGTCAGCGCTTGCAGTTGCTGCTCTTGAGGTGCTGATGAAGTGCTGCATTGTAGGTCTCAGTACCAGATGGTACTGTTCAGCGGTCTGCCTTGTCTTGTGCATTCACATTAAATCCTGACTTTATGTAGGATGTTCCTGCGGTGGCTAGAGCAGCAAACAGCTCTGAATCCCTTTTCCCAGCCATGGAAACTTTCAATTTTCACAGAACAGCTGGTGCTCCAGCTTCATGGTGGTGCTTCCTCTTGAGTGTCTGCACCCAGCTCATGGGCTCCAAGCTGGTTCGTTTACTTCTAGCTAGGATGTGCTGCATCTGTGGGGATGCCCTGGTGTGGGGTATCAGCATCATTCTGAGCCTGATGCGGAGCGGACTCAAAAGTGTATATCCCCTGTGCTGACGGAACCCTGAAGCATTGTGCAGGTAAACCTCCAGAGTTTCAGGCGTAAGAGTCATGTTTGAGTAATTTCTCTGGTCTGCTTCTGTCAGTGCTGTTAAAGCTGAATGCAGTGATCCCCAAAGGCTCCCTCTAGCTGTGCTGGGTTTGATTTGCCTCCCAGCCTCTAATGGTTCCTGAAGAAGTGGCAACATGCACTTTCAGCATCAGCTTGTAAGGGGATGCATAACTCACTCTTTTCTAGCAGCTCTGCAAGCTCTCTACTCCCCCTGCTGTGTGATGGGGAGGCTGCAAGGGTTGCAGCATAAGGATGCAGAGAAACATCCTTTCTGTGTGATCTACAGCTCTCCTTCTGTTTGTTCCCCAGGGGATATGGAAGGGAGTTAATGGGGTTCGTCAGGTGCCGGAACTGCTTTCTTCTTCTGTGCGCCTGGAGATGGAGCAGGAGTGGTGCTGCTGTGGGGAGGGGTCACAGATGGCCAAGGCAGTTCCCAGTGGCAGTGACACAAGCCAGCAGTGTGCTGGTGTGAGTCCCAGCAAGGTGGGAGCACTGGGGGAGAGGCAGCAAGCAGAGCATCTGTGGGAGCTGCCGTGGAGTCATCCAAGAGCTGCTTTGGAGGGCCCTGTGTGGGGCATGGCTCTTGGCTTTGTACTAAAAAGGCAAAGCAGGGAATGCAGTTTCACTGGGTCTTTCCTAGCTTGGGAGCCTTCAGCTGTTTGTCAGCCTGCATACTGCAGCATTCGTTCAGTTTATGTCTTTTGATATCTTCTGAATGATTGCAGCCTCCAGTCATCTGCAAGAGCTGGAGCCCTGCAGGTGCGTGCATTGGTTGCCCTGTGCATGGTGTGTGGGCATGGGGCTGCAGGGAGAGCTGCCTGCTGAGCCCCCAGCAGAGCCCCCTCACCCCCAGGATCTGATGCTCGTCACCTGTCATGCAAGGAGGGACTGGAAGAGCACAAGGCTGCACTTCCAGTGGAGATGGCAAGAGAGTGAATTTGGTGCTGGCCATGTCCCGGCTCATTTCCAGACCTCTCCCTCCCCCCCAGTGCAGCACAGCAGGACCTCTGCTATGCAAACTGGGCTCTGGATCTCTTGCTTGTCATGCCTTGCTTTTTGGCAGCAATGGCAACCCAGTGGTTTCACAGGAGCAGCAAGTGGCCAGGCTGCCTAGCAAGGTTTTGGATTTCTTGTGTGTGCAGAGCTTTGAAAAGAACAGCTGTACCTGCCTTTGGGGATTGCTGAGACCTCTTTGGCACGTGCAGGGCAGGATGCAGAGCTCCAGCCCAGGATCTCTGGCTGCAGTGCAGGAAAGCTCACGTGCATTTGGCTTCCTCCTTGCATGTTTCATTGGGTCCTGTTTTGCTGCTCATGGCATCTATTTGGACCTACTGCTTCACGTGGGCTTGGAAAGTTTGTGACACCTTGTTAAAGCCCGTTCCTTTCTGTAGGTCTAAAAACAGAGATCAAAAACATTACTCCCACAATAGTTTTTTTAGTTTTTGCCTTGAAGCAAACCCACTGTTTGTCTAACCCACCTCTTTTTTGAGTTGTAGTGCCACTTTTTTGTCCTTGTTTATACACACAGATATGCGTGCGCACAAGTAATGACAACTAATGCATTTTGGCTTCTGTTCATTCAAAGTGATCTTTTTTTTTTTTTTTTGAGTTTTTTTTTGTCTTTTCTTGCAGCTTCTGAAGCAAGAAAGTCAGTTGACTCCCCATCACACACCTTGTGCCTGATCTGGTCCATGTTGGCCTTCCTAGTTCACCATAGATCTCTCATTTTGACTTACATGTCTGTTCCATGGTGGTGATCGTTGTCGTTGTCCTTTTTGTTTTATTGTCCCTTTGTTTTTTTGTATTTTCTCCCGGGAGTTCCAGCCACTCGTGGCCGCTACTAACCCCTCTTTTATTTATCCCCATGCTCTGCACCCTTGCCTGCTGGCAGATCAAGGTGGTGAATGCGTTCCGTAGCTCCTTGTATGAAGGCCTCGAGAAACCCGAGTCCAGAAGCTCCATCCATAACTTCATGACACACCCGGAGTTCATCCTGGAGGAAGATGAGCCTCGAACACCATTCCTTGACAGTGCTGAAGATGACCCCGAGACCGACGGACTCCAAAAGCGAGGTGGGGGCTGCCTGGGTGGATCTTCATCCCTCAACAGAAATAACAACGCAGTGGACAGTGATCAAACCGAGGTCAACTTTGCAGAGCCTGAAAGCCTCTTTCACAGCTTGGAGACATCAGTTTGACCTTAGAACTTCAACCCTCTCCCCCACCCACTGCCCTCCTCCACCTTCGCCCCACATCCAGTGTGATGTTGACATCAGTAACTGATCACATGCTGCAGTCACTTTGTGTCAAACTGCTCATAAGTATATCACTGGGGGGTTGTTTTGTTTTGTTTTTCTTTTTTTACTATGATTTAGCTGTGGGAGCCAGAGTACCATGATGTTGAGTATTAGAAGAGGGGGCATCGTGCATCTTCACCCCTAGTTTTCAGTGGTACTTGCCCAAGTGAAACAGCCAGTTTATTTCCTCTCTGAGAGTTGGGCTCCATGTGTCCGCAGGGGATTTTCACGTTGAAAAATGCATGTTCCAAGGAAGCTCAAATTATTGTAGTCTTACATGCACAGTCCCTGCCTGAGGGCTGAGGTGCACTTGTGACTTTCTTTTTCCACTTGTTGTTTTTAAGGTTTTCTTCCAATGTTGGGGGTTTGTTCTTTGCTTGTGGGATTTGCCCCCCTGTTACTTCACAGTGGGAAGCTGGGGGAGTTAGCACTGTAGTGCAAAAAGCTTAAAAACAAAACAAACAAACAAACAGTCGGGAGGAAGGTGTTTACTCACAGGTTGCTCAGACAGGGATGTACACCAGTCTTCCACCTTGACAAATGGTACCCAGCCTTTACAGCTCCTCCTCTTGTGTGCACACATTGCTGTCTGTTTCCAAAGCAGTCTGTGGTAGACAAGGAATGAAGGTGGCTTGGCTTGGATATCAGGGCTTGATTTTTATTTTTTCCTTTTTTTTTCTTCCCCACCATGAAGTAAGGTGGAGGTGAATGGCAGTTTAAGCATGGTGAATTAAAAACAGATGGCAGTGAGAAATGGGGCATGTTCTTTTAGAGGAGCTGTGTCTCCTTTGCTCGTGAACACCTGTGCCACGTTTTGGTGAGAGCTCTGGGAAGCTTTTAGCAGTTCCCACTGTCAGGAGCACAGTGACTTCTGCCTGTTTTGGATTGTCTGTATTCCTCCTGGGCTGAGTAATCGTCAGCCTCACGGTGAAAGCTGTGTTAGGTGAGGAGGAACCCAGAAGATGCTCCAGCTGGACCCACCAGTTCTGCTTGTCACTTGCAAAGTGTGAATAGAGAAATAAGTGTGGTTGGTGTGGCTGGGGCAGCTCTCAGATCATAAGAAGGACAAGTTGGGTTGCGCCCTAGAAGGGAAGGGATCTGTGCGGCCATGGGGATGCCCATTGGTTTCCACAGCACTCCTGCAGCTGATGTTGGTGCTGGGTTTGTTGGTCAGCTGCAGCTCTTCCAGAAGTGCTGTGGGCCTTGCTTACTGGAGGTTATCCCCTCACCCTGTGTCCTGCCTCTCCTTGGTCTATAGTAACTTGTCCTCTGCAGGGTGGCAGCCTCAGATTGTGGAGCAGATGTCCTATGTGTCCTGGCTCTAGCCACCTTGCCAAGCCAAGAATGGGCAGGAAGCAGGTTTTGCTTTGCTTGGGCTTGGTTTCTTTCCCCGTGAGTGCAGTCCCTTCGTCATTGTCCCCCTAGTGTGCGGGGCTGAAAAGAGCTCTGCTGCCTTCTGTCCCTTTTCCCAGTTGGTTTGGTTGGAAGCAGAGAAAACATGGCGGTAACTAGCTGTGCTGTCTGCCTGTCCCTGTAGGTGTCTGTGAGGGGGTGGGCTGGCTGGTTTGGCTGGCTGGTTTCTTCTTTTCTTTCCTTTAAGAACGCACAGCAGAATCTCCCGTGCCTTCTCCAAGCACTGCCTGCAGCACCGCCTGCCACATGAGGGCCCACTACTTTGCCAAGAAATAAGTGTTCCTTAATGACAACAGCAAAAACCAAGTGTCTTTGTTTTGTTTCCAGCCCAGCGCTGACCCATACCTTCCTTGGGGTGGAAGCAGGGAAGGACCCGGGCGCCGAGGTCAGGCCCTGCTGCCCTGCCCAGCGCTGCCAAGGGGGGCATGAAGGCTGGGGTCAGTACACTGCCAGCAGCGAGGAGAAATTGCCACCACTGCCCATCTCAATTGCAAATTCAGTGTTGAGACACCAGCCCTGCCTGTGCAGACAACCTGTTGCTGTCCTTCCCTTCCTCTGCATGCGAGATGAACAAATGCTGTGGGCAGGATGGAGCACAGCATGCCCTGCTGTGTGGTGGTGGTGGGGAAGGGATGCTCGTGGGGTTTGGTTCCGTACTGAAGGTGACATTGCTCGAAAGATCACTTTTTTCTATTTTAAATACTTGCAAAAAAAAAAAAAAAATCTTAGAGGCTTACATAAATATTTATTACATGTGTTGGGGGAGGGAGGGTGCTATTTTTTTCTTCTTTTTCCTTTTGATTTTTTTTTTTTAATTACCTCAGACCTATTTAAAAACAAGCAGGAAAACCAAAAAAAGACTTAAACCAATGAAAAACTACACAAAGCCAACTCTGGAGGCGCTTAATTCCCTCTCAGAGGCCTGTGAACAGCAGGTTGCCATAGGAGTCCGGTTGTTAGTTAGTTGATACTTTATTGTTGTCCTAGTTTCCATATTAGGAGGGGGGGAAAAATCATTATAGATAAATATTATGCAAAAAAAAAAAAGTCTAGTTTTCTTTAGATCAGAAACGGATATTTTTACGTCAGCCATATGTATTTTGTTTAAAGTAAAAATAAATAAATAAATAAAATAATAAAAATCTTAGGGTCCTGCATCTGTAGTGGCTCCTGACTGCAGTGGCAATTCCAAGTGCTGGTATATTGCCATCGGTGCCAGTCAGCCTCCTTTTCTCTGAGCAGCCATCTTTATACTAGATGTTAGTTGGAGGACAATTTTTTTTTTTTTTATAAATCATGTTGGTATGGCTGGTTGCTTAAGGTAAAGCATTTATTGTGCATACATCTTTCATGTAAAGTATTTTTTCTTATTTAGTTTCAATGATGTACTGGCAGCAGATGATTATTGGGTTAAGTTATTGAGGACGTTCTAAAAACAAAAAAAATACTTGGGGAGGTGGGCGCTCTGCTGGAGAGGCATAGGCAGCAGCATGGACTGTGGGGACTCTGCAACATGCCTTGGAAGAGGGGGAGATTTTGTTTTTTGCTTTGTTTGAACTGCGACGAGTGCCATTGCCAGACAGGAACTGAAGTCATACCCTGTGATCTGTGTTAACTTGTCTTGGAATGCTTCGTTATTAAAACACTCTGAACATAATTTTGCATCCATTTCTTAATGACAGTAGGGTCTCTGGTGGTGATGTTTTCCATGAAGTAAATGGGCAGATTGGTACCAAAGACATCACATCACATCCTGTGTGCAGTGCCAAACAGGCATTCTTAGGCATTTGCATTCTGTGATGAGGTTTTATTTGATTTGCACAGGGGCTATACTTAACTTTCAAAGGTTTTGTGCAATAAGCATCGAGGAGAACTTTGAAACAATCTCAAGAAGGAAAAAAAAAAAAACAAAAAAAAAACCCTGAATTTTAGCATGGGCAGCCTCTGGCTTTCCCTGGCTGAGTCCTGCAGTGCTCAACACCTCTAGAACTGCTGTTTTGCTGTGCCAGGACTTAGGGATGATGGGAAAGCCCCCTCCCAGCCCCAGGGAGCGCACCTCCCATGCCATGGGCTGTGTGGCTGCGGGGGCTGAGCACCTCCACAGTGCGTCTCTGCAGGGGAAGGATGCTCTTAGCACCATCAGCCACTCCTCGCCGCTGTGTCCAGCTGCCATGCCATCATCACCCCTCGGAGCACAGGGGCCATCTGTGGCATGCAGCTCTTCCTATCCAGCGCCTCTTTGTCAAGGCTGTTCCCTGCCTCCCTCATCGGCCTGCTCAGTGAAAGGAAAACCAGTTTTTGTTCAAAGAAGCCCATGGCTAAAACTGCCTTTAGTTTATTTCTTACCCTTAATTATATATATATATATTTATATATATGTATGTGTGTGTGTATATATATATTTATATATATATATATATACAGTATTAAACCAACGTTTATGTGTGTATATATATTTATCCAGCGCTCTACAACAAAATTTTCATTTGAAGAGGGCACTCAGAGCTGAGTTTTTTTTCTTTTCCAGTAACTAGTGTAATAAGCACTGGTATTTTTGTATAAAAGCAGAAAAATCCAGATCAAAAGACTGAATATTATGTGGTATGCATGACATTAAAAAAAAAAAAAAGGTGGTTTCAAAACAGTATGACAGTATGTACCCTGGTGTGTTTGCCATATCCTGGAGTCCAGCTTAAAGTGCACCTGATCTGTATTGCATTTTGATATTAATCTCTATGTACAATGTTTTGCATGTACTTTATATGGTTCTTGGGAGGAAAAAAAAAAAAAAGAATGAGTTGTCTGTTGGCTTCTTTTGAGAAAACAGACTCCAAGCAGATATAATACTTAAATTGGAAATCTAAGAGTGGGTGAGAGTGGTAAAGGGGATATGCAGGCAAAAAATGTGGGTGGGTGGGCTGGGGGGGTGGGGGGGTGGGGAAAAGGCCACTGGTTTTGAATCAATAAAGCTCTGGCTGTTGAGCTTTGGCTCTTGGTGCATCAAGAGAATAAAATGTGCCATATGTAATTGTGACATCCTTGGTGTGTCTGCCAGCTCATGACATCTGTCCTGTGGTCTCTCCTGGCACTGGAGGAATGGTTGTACTTCCCCATGGGGAGAGCAGGGCAGAAAGGGGTGGGAATTGAGCAGCAACCCAACTGCAATGGGGTCTGTGTGGATTTTCACTATGTTTAAGCCTCCTTATCCAGGGGCAGGGACAGCTGCTTCCATCTCATGGCAAGATCCAGAACAGTTGTCTGATGCCATCCAAAGCTGATGCCTCCTGGGCTAAGTGATAAAGGGAGCCCTGGAGCAAAGCACCCCATCCCCTTCCGTGGCACCCTGCAATGCCCCCAGGATTGTGCTGGCAGGGCAGTGCTCTCTGCCTTCCAGCTGTGTCCTGCCTTGGCACTGAGACTGCTCTGCCTCTGCAGAGGCTCTTTGCTCAGACAAGGACACTGGGAAATAAAAGCAGCTGGCCTCCAGAATACTCTCACTTCCAAACGGAGCATTTGTGCTGGGTTGGTTTAACTTTATGCTTTTATTGAAGAGGTTGTTGCTTCTCTGTGCCCTGCTTTCTCCAGGGCCAAGAAGGAGCAGGGCAGCGCTGCAAAGAAGGAAGTTCAGTCTGAAAGTCCCACTGACAAGAGGAGGTGGTAAAAGCTTTGTTTTGCATCTGCTTCCAACTTGTCTCTGGGACAAGGCCGTCAGGTGGAGAGCTGCCTATGGCAGCAGAGCTGCTCCTCCTGGCAGGAAGCACAGGGGAAGCACTGCTCTGTCCTTCTCAACGCAAACAGCTCTGATGGAGCCAGAGGCACCAAAAGAGGTTCCAAAGAGAAATATTCCTGGGGGAAAAAAAAAAAAAAAGTAGGATGTTTCTCAACATCAGTACTATATACAGGCAAAGAGAGAGCTCACCTGAGACCTTTCCCCAATTCAGCACCTTGCCTGGAGGCAGTTTTGCAATGTCTTAGAACATGCATTAGATTTCCTGGAAATAGGCAGGCACTTCTCAGGAATTGTGAGAATATTCATTTTTTAGTGTATATAATGAGCTTACTTTCATTCCTTGGCCTGCATGTTAGGAGAGGAATCCTCCATGCACTCAGCATTGCAATAAACCGATGTTGGCTTTCTAAACCCTCATTTGGTTTGGAGAGTTTTCTTGGTTATGATTTTTAGTAACAACTTTACTAAAATTATGGGATACAACTTGAATAATTCAGCTCCAGTTACATCATATCAATTGCTTCAGTCTAATTATATATTGAGTATTTGATGCCAACCCCCTTCCAATCCTGTCAGAATGAATCTTATATTAATGAACTAGCTACTGCTACAATGATCTGTACCAACTGCTAGAATGCATCTGAATCAATGGAGATAAACCTCTAGTCACCATTCCTCATGATACAGAAGAGATACACGATGTCCAGGAAGAGTGAAGAAGGATGGAAAACACCACTGGTGTTTTCCTGGATGTCATCAATGGTAACAAGAGCTTTTAATTCCACGCTTCACCTAGTTTTGATTCCACCAACTCTAACATTGTTCTATCTATTGCTTATCACTATATTGTACGAGAAACATTGACACATGCCAAAGACAAATCACAGAATCACCAAGGTTGGAAAAGACCTCCAGAGATTATCCAGACCAACTGTTCACCTACCACCAATATCTCCCACCAAATCTAAGTGTTTCTATATAAATAACTCAACTCAAACCACTCTCACCAAAACAGATTAACAGACACAAATGTGTCTCAAACTTGGGGCAGACTCCTGGCTCAACAGCTGAGGGCCAATTGAGATGTGCCTAAAAACAAAGCGTGACAGCAAGCCAGTCACCTTGCCCTCTGCCCATAACAACCAACAGTACAGGCCTGAAGACTCTTGCTGCATGCATGCCAGCTGACCTCATCTTCATCAACAATGCTTTGGCATTTACTTTTCCCAACTCCCCTACCATCGATTTCTTCTTCATTTTCACATGTAGACTGTATTCACATCTGGAGGACTTTTCAACAGCGTGCTCTTTGCAGAAAGGAGTCTGGACTGGACTTTGCAGACATGCATGCTGCTTGGGCACCTTCTCAACTCCTATTGCCCATCCTGAGAAACAGAACCATGCTCCCCATGTGCAGGGACCATGGGATGGATCCATCACTGCTGGGCTATGCCTGAGTTATTGTTCTTGGCTTCTCAAACTTTCAGGAGCTGCTACTCCTTGCTGTGTCCTACTGACTCCCTCCTCAAAAAGCACCACGTTTGAAGTAAGATCCAGCTCCAAAGCTAGCCCAGGCTTCCCACCTGCTATCAAAAAGTTGTAAATTAACCATCCCTTTGCTGTGCCTCTTTTGCTGGTAACTGGTGCGTGTGCTCTCCTGTCCTTAACTCACTTTGCAGGCTGTCAGCTTTTCATCATATTTTCTCCCCGTTCTGTTTTGAAGGGGCAGGGGTGAGGAGGGTGCTGAGCTCCCTGCTGCAGTTAAACCATCACACTAAGGTTCTCTGTCCCCTGGAATGGAAATGCAAGCAAGAATGCAGTGTGCAAGTGCAGAGAGTATTGAGTTACTGATTATTGATTCCAGCTACATAGACTCCTTTCACTTTAATCACCATGTGAGTGTGAAGCAGGACAACATGTGGTCCTGATTCCTCCCAAGTGAGAAGGTTGCAATAGATGCACAGAAAATGCAGTGGAACGGGTAATTTCCTGTCACCATAAATATA